CAGAACAACAGGGCTACGAGGCCTTTGCAGCCCCTCCCGGTTCTGGCCGGTACCTGGCACACTGTCAGCACTTGCTCAGTGTTAATCATGTTTATTAAAAAAGAAACCAAACTCCCTAGACCCCCTTGCCTGACCACTAGTGACGTAAACCAACTAGGATTCCTCTACCCTATCCACACACACACACACACACACACACACACACACACCCCACACAGAGTTGTGAACTCTGGCCTGTTCAAGCTATCAGCACCTTTCCTCTTCAGAGACAGGATCATTTCAAAGAACCTTGTGAGGAGGCCTGGGGCATGTCAGAAGCTCTTCAGGTGCTCAGGGCCACGTTGGCCAGATAGCATGATGAATCAAAAAATCCGCCGGGCATGGTAGCGCATGCCTGTAATTCCGGCTACTTGGAAGGCTGAGGCGGAAGGATCACCGGAGCCCAGCAGGCGAGGCTGCGGTGGCCGGGAGCGGCCACTGCACTCCAGTCTGGGTGACAGAGTGAGACTCTAACTCAAAAAAAAAAAAAAAAAAAGGAATCCAGTGCATGCATCTTTGGCAGCCTGCTTCCTCTCTGCGTATCTAAGATCTATCGAGACTTCATAATTGAGCTGTGTGCTCTAAAATGCCCTTCAGCAAGTTACCTACATCTCAGTTTATTCTCTGATAACAACAGATGTTAACACCTTCCCTACCTACCTTTAATTCAACAGCATTTAAGGGCCCACCTCATATAAGACACGTGGAGAAATGAAGATGCCGAACCTCCAATCCCTGACTCTGACCTCTAAGAGAGAATAACATGACTCATAAGTAGACACACTTCTGCTGGAAGGAGGACTTAATTTCGAAAAAAGGACTCAAGGAGGAGTTCAAAAGGGTGACAGTGGAGATACTACATTTTGAAAGGTTGACATTTGTGGGGAAAAGCCTTCTGAGAGGATGTCCTAATGAAGATGCACAAAGGCACAGAAGTGCCCCCACAGACTCAGGGCGCTACAAGTCGGGCCGTGGCTTGAGTGGAGAGGTAGGGATGTATTTCCCGGAAGAAGCTCAGTATAGGACCAGACCAGTCTCGAAGGCCCTGCCAATGAGTCTGGACATGACTATTAGCACTAGGGAGGATCCAGTTGAAGGTACAGAATCCGGTTTGTACCCAGGCAGGTAATTTCAGTAATTCCAGAAGGGCAAGAAAGAAGCACAGCAGCCCTGAGGCTGATGGCAGCAACCCATGGAGGAACAATGAGGAACTCTGACCCGGGGCAGTGGTCACGAAGGAACAGGAAGGGCAGAGTGCAGAGACATCACAGGCTGCAGCCTCTGGCTAGGAAGAAGGAGGCTACAGACACAGAGGACTGCATGACGTTGTAACATGCCAAGTTGTTTCAGAAGCAGATCCCTGCAAGACCCAAGCTCGCCAATGGAGCTGTGGCAGGTGAGATACCAGCAGACAGGTCCATCTGGGAGGAGGTCAGACACTGGCATGCATAGTTAGGAGCAAGGGCAGATGCAGATTTTAAGAGTCATCAACATATAGGGAGTATTTAAACCAGAGAGGAATCCCTTAGCTTATTATTATCAGATGTGATAACAGAGGTGAAAGTGCCTCTTAAGTTGTCAGGAGCCACAGAGCACCCGTGCATTACAATCCGGCTCTCTCACCATGGCTGCTTCAGGCCTGCAAGGACCAAGGCAGGGAGTGAGTTCCAAAAACGTAAAGTGGTGATTCTCAACCTGGCTGTATGTGAGAATCTTTGGGAAGCTGCTAGAATCCCAAAGCCCCAACCCAGAGCAATGAAGTCAGGATCTCCGTGGGTAGGACAGTGGTGTCTCTTTTTAAAGCCCCCAGGACTGTCGACATGGAGCCAGGACTGAGAACCACTGGATTAGCAGGTCTCTTCAGTACAGAGCAACTTCCCCTCGGAATCGTTTACCTGGGTAACAGAACAGAATGATGACAAAGAGGCGTCATTCAATCAACAGAAGCATTCAGTCCTTCTTCAACACACATATTTGAGGGGGCTGGCACTCTGCCAGGTGTCAGGGACTGTGCCAACAAGACAGAAGTGGTCCCTGTCCTCATGAGGTTAATACTCTATGGAGGAAGCAGACAGTAAGTAATGACTGTAAATGTCGGTAACTCCCATCACTTTTCCAGATAAAGGAAATAAATGCTCATTCATTTAATAGATATTCTCTGAGGGCTGAAGATACAATCAGATGAGGTCCTGCTCTCATGGAGTCTACATTTGTGATGGGGGAGTCCAACTAACACAAACAAGAAAATAAACTAGTTACCATCAAAGTCGTAAGTACTTAAAGAATACAAAACAGCATGAACTGACAGAAGATACTGCCTGAGGAGGGCTACTTTTATTAAGGTGGACTGGGAAGGCCTCACTGAAGAGGTTAACAAAGACATGAGACCTGAAAAAAAGAGAAGGAATAGTCAAGACAAGATCTGAAGGAAGTTCCAGGCAGGGGACCTGGCAGATGCAAAGGTCCTGAGGTAGGAACAAGTGGAACAATAGCATGATGGAGACTCAACCCTCAGCTCCAGGCTCTGGCTCCCATGTTTCTTCCATTTGGAAATGTTTGCCTCAATGTCCCTAGTCAATATACATTTCTGTACTTTTAAATTCATTTGATTTTTTAAAAAAATCAAAATGGCATGACTCAATCGTAGGTATTTACAGGTTCAACTCTCTACTCTGTCAATGACTTACTAGTTGTCTGGCTGAATGGAAGAGATGAAACAAGAACAGCAGAAGCACTAAAAGGCATCAAAATTGATGCATTCAAGAACAGTTTTGAGCAGCATAAAGTGTCTCAATAGGTGTATAGCATCAAATGGAGAGTACTTTGAAGGTGACTGAAGTTTACACATGTAAGAATAAATACACAATTTTTTATAAATAAATCCAGGGTAGGCCAGGCTCAGTGGCTCAGTCTGTAATCCTGCGCTTTGGGAGGCCGAGGTGAGTGAATTGCCTGAGCCTGCGGGTTCGAGATCCGCCCGGGCAACCTGGTGAGACCTCATCTCTACAATAAATCAGAAATTAGCCGGGTGTGGTAGCGCATGCCCGTAGTTCCAGTTACTTGGAAGGCTGAGGCAGAAGGATCGCCGGAGCCCAGCAGGTCAAGGCTGTGGTGGCCAGGAGCGTGCCACTGCACTCCAGTCTGGGCGATAGAGTGAGACTCCAATTAAAAAAAAAAAAAAAAAAAATATGAGCCAGGCGTGGTAGCACACGTCTGTAGTTCCAGCTACTTGGAAGGCTGAGGTGGAAGGATCGCCAGAGACCAGAAGGCTGTAGTGGCTGGGAGCGGCCACTGCACTCCAGTCTGGACAACAGAGTGAGACTCCAATTCAAAAAAAAATTAAAAAAAAAAAAATAATAAACCCGAGGTTTGGGGTCCACCCATATATAAGGCTCTTGAAATACAGCAGGCACTCAGTAAACAGCAGATCCTCTCTAAGCAGGGCAGGGGCCAGTCTGTTTTGCTTCACTGTGTCTCTGTTAATGGTGAGAGTTCACAAAGTCACTGCTCTTGGAGAAGACGGCAACTGGGAGGTGGAGGAGGGAAATGTTTAAACCTAGAACAACAGCTGTAAACACACCACGCCAAGTAGGGTATGGACACAGACACACATATGCAGGCACACCAAGTAAGCCCATATGCAGCCTTTAGAAGAAAAGCCCAGGTGAGACTTTGGCTATCTGACTTCACCCCTTCTACTGTACAGGAAAACAGACACAGTGTCCTAACTCGGTCTAACACCAGATCTTGAAATATATACAAAGGTCAAAGACTCTACCATCTTGATAGGAAAATATGAGACCCATGTGAACAGCAGGGACAAGAGTGAGTCTGACAACTCCACCATACTTGCCGTCTCCCTGTCCCTGGTCAGCGGCTGGACTTTGAAATGCTTGCGTACGGCTTATTTGCTTTGCAAAGATGTCGCAGAGAAACTGATGATCTTGCAAGCTGAGGCAGAGATAAGCAGCCCACTCATTTGGATTTTACTCTTATTTCTGAAATGGGATATGTCACATATGGTTATCTGATATGGACTTTAATAACTTTCAATCATATTTTAAACTCTGGAAATGGAACTGCATTGGCTGCCCATGATAACCACGACAGAGAATCTACAATTTGGATCTGCAGTTTTATATCTTCTCCCAAGAGTCAGACAAGGAAAAATGGAACAACCACACATATAAAATTAGCGTGTCCACTTAAAATGAAGTTTTGCTTGGATTTAGGGAATTAAGAGTGTCCCGATGTTTTCGAAGTAAACTTATGAAGTCTAGCCAAATGATTACAGTACGAATAATTCTTCCATGGGTTGTATTTCAAGTAAACAGCACAGGATTTGCCGATAAGGTCCTTAAGATCCCTTCCATTGGACAAGCATATTCATATATGCTTCATGTTCATATTTCTATACGAATAGTAGACTGAGATCGTGGTTAGTCACCCTGGAAAGGTCAGCCCTCTCCGCAGCAGTTTGGAGAAAGTGGGGTCGGGTGGTGAGGGAGCTCTTGCATGGCCAGGCCTTGACGCTGGACGCAAGGCGCCCCCGGTGCCCCCGCAGACAAGCGCTTGGCCTGTGGGCTCCCCGGTTGTAGACCCGGCCCCTTCCCACTCGGACCTGCGGAGGCTCCGCTGGGCCCCACCCCCAGGATCTCGCCGAGTCCCGGCAACGCCGAGAGAAGCCACCCGCCCCCCGGCTGACCTTCCCCCCGCCGAGTCCTGTCCGCGGAGAGGCCCGTGCAGCCTTGGGAGAGAAGATTCAGGGTTTGAAAGAATCCGAATGCACGGCTCCTTTTCCCTCTCAGCTAACGGCTTTAAGCGAAAGCAGACACGAGGCTAGGCAAACGTTTCCCCCCTCTTGCACCTGGCTTCACGTGAATTAGCACCAAAGCCAGAGTGACCAGAGTTCTCCACCCCAAAACCCCAACCACGATCCGCCGCAACAAGCCGCTCTACCAGACGCTTCGGAGTCCGCTCGACCTCCCCAACGAGCGTCTACACCTGATCAAACTGTCCGAAGGCTGCGGCGGCCTCCGCAGCTAAGGCGAGGTGGGCTGCGCTGAGAGCCTCCCGCCCGGCGTGCCCACCGTCGCCGCCCCCCCCCTCGCCTTGCCCTCCGCTCTCCCCCCTCCCGGACGCAGGGGAGCGACACAAGCAACTATTCATTCTTTCTCAACAAAGGGAGAAGGCGGGGGTGTTGTCAACAGTTACGGGCA